TTCTGTCACTAACAGGGGACATTTATCTCCTCTACCATTATTATTATTACCCATTGTTAGGATAAACAAAGTCAACACTGCCCACCCAAGCGAAGCCTAGCACTCGTGTTGCTCAGGCAACAGTTTTTTCTCACAGCAGAGCTCGTTCCTGATTATATTATTAGTTTCTGGTCAAGATGTTGTTGAAACCAATGGTGTCCTTAGTAATTCGGATTATGTCCCTCAGTTAATAGAATTGAATTTTGCCCAATTTACATGGCAAAAACTCATGCTGTAAGAGAAATGCCTGCATTCATTTCCTGTCCCTGGGTTCCACTGCGGCATATTTTACCATAATTTTCCTTTCTCCTTGAGCACCTTTATTTTTATCTTTATTTTCTCAGGGGAGAGCGTGAACGCAGCCCCCACATTTGGGGAAACCACAGGGCTCAGCACATCCGGAATGCAATGGATAAGCCTCGCCCTGGGAACACCACCTTCGTGATCGTGGGATCTCCCCTGCCAGGTAAGTATCTCCTCGAGCACATTTAAATAAATTCTCTCCTTTCCACCAAAAACCCTGGTCTAAGGCACCTTAACAATAAGGGAATCCCTGTGATGGGAAAACATTTAAACCATTCACTAGACCAGGAGTCTGCAAACTGCAGGCCCAGTTCAACAAGCCTCATGCAACAAGCTCTCTTTTTGGCTTGCTGGTTGATTTTCCTTAAAAACTACAAAAACCTATCTACCTACTGCTAACATCTCAGTTCGCGTATAAGACGCTCGTGACCTGCATTCTCAGGCAGCTATCTAACCAGCAAGAAGGAGTAAGCATGAAGAAAATTTTCTTAGAATCGAAGCCGGTATGTCCCTTAACCCCACCCACCCCCAATCCAGGACTGTGCATTCCACTGGCATTAGCCTACTGGGACCACACAGGAGTGTGAGGCTGCCGTCTGGTCTTTTCCCTGCCTGTAAGGTCTCGGCAGCTCCCAGGTATGTTGTGCCTGGGATCTGGCTCCTAGTAGGAGAGGAACGAGATAAAAGACAAGAACATCCGTCCTGTGTCTGGAAACTACATTGGCCAGAAGGTCTTCTGGTGAGCTTGATGCCTTGTCTCAGCTCAGCCCTTCCCTCACTGGTCCCCGCATCCTGCTGTCCACCCAGCCCACCCAGGGCACTTTCCATATGTCTGGTCTCCCATGGTTTGCTTTTCTTTTGCACCCACTCAAATGTGGGTTAACTTCCTTGAACAAAAAAATCCCATTTGACTGTCTGGACCAGACAAGTCTTTAACCCTGGCTGTGCATGGGAATCACATGGAGAGCAAAACAAAACAAAAACCTGACCCCTGGACCCATCCTGAGACCAAGAGAATTGGCATCTCTTGAGCAGGGATAGCAGTAATATTTTTAAAAAGCTCCCCACCCCCTTGCCATGTCATTTTAATGAGGATCCAGGATGGAGACACCCTGATTCTGATTTTTTTTTACATCAGAATCATCTGGGGAGCTTTTTAAACATATATATTCCATGTATATGCATTGTAGAATTGTATACCTGAAACCTACATGATTTATTAAGCAATATCACCCCAATAAATTCCATAAAAATAAATAAGTAATATTGATTCCAGACCTAATAAATTAGTATCGGAGGAAGAGGTGGGACTGGAACTCTCTGCTTTTCTCTGCCTCTTTCTTACCTGACTTCCTCTGTGTAAACCCGAACAATGTGGATGGTCAGCCTCCATTTCCTGGTCTCCACAGCCTACCAATACTAGGAAACACGATCCTTTAGTACAAATCCCTAAGGATCTGACTGACTCAACTCTATTTATAAGTTGATACTTTTAGCTGAGCCTTCTCAAACCTTGACTTTCCATTGTCAAAAGCCAATGGACTCCATTCCCAGCTTCCCTAGAATCTCTGTGTGGGCCTGAGGCTGAATCCCGTGCAGTGAGACAGAAGCAAATGTGCTCCACGAGTCTTCTGGGAGGTTTCCTAGGGGGTGGGCGTGGGGGTGTGCTGGCTGGAGCTCCCACTGCCATCCTGGAGCCCTGAGCACAAGAGCCACATCCTTGGGAGAGCTGGATGTGCACAGCTGGGGTCACTGATCAAGTCCTGGCGACAGTCCTGGGCTGCCTACGTCCAGAGAGAAATACATGCCAACGATCTGGGGTTTGAAAGCGATAGTTTCCTATGATCCAATAGGCTGTGACCAGAGAGGCAGGACACAGAACATACCAGGTAGTGAATTTCCAGGTCTGAGCAGATTTAGGAAAAGGGGCCTGAACAGAGTAGGCACACTGTTTGGTGTTTCGCCACAATCCCTGAGTTCCCCCCACCCCCACTCCCCCGCCTTTTCTATAAAAGCTCTTACTGGGTTGACAGCTTGGGTCTGTATGGAAAAGAAATACTAGAATGCACGAAACATGTTGACATGGGCTGATATCACAGAACATGCACCAGGGCAAAACTACAATGCAAGAGAAACGGGCTCTGGGCGGCAGAATTGTGGGTAATGGTGGCTGCAGGCCAGGTCAGCAGGTGCCCTGAGCAGATGGGAGTCTGTTGTTCGGCTAATAATTGAAGAAACACTGGTTACATATTTTCTGGGATCTGGTTAGCTCATTTCCCTTAGCTGCTTAGGGCTATGATTTATAGGTGGCAAAGCCACTTGGGGTAATAAAGCCCCCAGGCCTCGTGGCAAACTGCTGAGATTTTTCAAGAAGAAAGGGACTGCTTGAACGTCTCAATTGGCTTTTCCTAAGTGAATGACACCCAGAGGAAACAGGTTTCCTATGTGTCACCATCATTCACAGCTTCAAGAAGAAAGATGAGAGGAATCAAGAAAAAATTGCTAAATCAAGAAAGAGGGGAAAGGGGGGGATGTTACATTCATTTCAAATACCTGACAATCATACCCTAGCTGGCTTGGCTCAGTGGATAGAGCGTTGGCTTGTGGACTGAAGGATCCTGGGTTCAATTCCAGGCAAATACCTGACATTCTTGAGAGTCCTGGACCAGGTTTCCCAGAACTAAAACTCCCAGTGGACACAGGTCCCATCATCATTTTTTCCCTCCTTTTCTATAAAAGCTCTTAATGGGTTGAGAAAAAATTGGTTTCAATAGCAACTGGTTTGAATGAGCCTGTTCCATAAAAGGAAGACCATATCATATATCATTTTTAAAAACAGCCTTCCTTCTATCGTGTTCTACTGGGCTATGGCCTTTCTGTGCAGCTTCTTTTCTTCCTAAGTGAATAAATCCTAAAAGTGTGTCCATAACCTCTGACTGCTGAAGAAGCTCCGTGCCTGCAACACCTGTGCCCTCACAGCTGCCGGTCGCAGGAGCGCGGGTCTGAGCTCAGGCACAATGCTAGACACTGTCAACACAGGGACTTAAGAAAGAAATCAGTTGTTTTCCATGTTCAGAAAAAACAAATAAACAATTTTTTAATGGTCTGTAATAGAAAACGGGAAAGAAAAAAAACCCAGCAAAGTAGTCCATTCTCAGGCCTTAGCACAGATCACCAGAGACTTCAGGAAATCTTTGTGGAATAAAAAAAGAGAAAAGAAAAGGCCAGCCAACTGAGAAAAGCAATGGCTATATTCAGAACTTGCTTTAGCAAAGGAGTCAGCAGCCATCACATCAAGGCAGGCAGAGGGGTTGGAAGCTTAATAGTGAAAAAAGGACCTGCAGGTGGGCCCTGAATGGAGGCTGCCACCTGGGAAGCTGTAGACAACTAACGAGAAGCAAGGCGTCCACTGTGACTGGTTAGAAGAGCATATTGAGCTTTCTCTGGTTGGTCCTACGTTAGAAATGGGACAAAAATTAGGGAACCTGTCAGTTATTAATCAAGTTCCTGGCTATTTGGGGCCAATTGTTTCAGAAATGATTGAGTAGCTTTCTGGATTATTACTAAAGACTAGAGGCCCGGTGCATGGGGATTGTGCATGGGGATTGCGCACTACAATTACTGTACATAGGAGGTGTGGGTGAGGGAGCGCCACTAATCTGGGGTCAGCCGAGGAGCGCACTGACCACCAGGGGGCAGCGCCTGCATTGAGCGTCTGCCCTCCTGGTGGTCAGTGTGCGACATAGCAACTGGTCAACTGGGTCATTCTGGTCATTCCACTGTTCAGTTGCTGGGCTTTTATTATAGCAACCTGGCTTCCTCCAAATGTGACCTATATCAGGCTGACTCCTGGGGCCGACTATTATAAATAAGGGTCTGGTTTACTGGACAGGCTGCTGCAAGTTGTGGGTCAGTGTTCTATTTTTACATATGGTCTGGCCATGGCCCATTTGAAAATTGCCTCTCATCTTTCAGACAAAGACAGATAGCTGTCTACAGGCAGTGAGGAGATTCTGGCATTTCTAGAGACCCACTTAGGGAGACAGCTAAGCCCTATTGGCCACCTTGCCCAGAAGTACCTATGACGTCCCTGCTTTTGTGAGCACATCCCCAGGACCATGCCCCGAAAAGGCAAGGCAGGAAGGGAAGGATAGTGGTATTGAGCAAAAACCGACATTACAGCCCACCCACCTCCAAAGATTCTAATATAATAGAGTAGGGCTGGGCATCAGTATTTTTCCAAAACTTCCTAAATGGTTCTAATGTGCAGCCCGGTTGGCAGATAGTGATCGAAACCTTTGAGCACTACTGGGGGCACATCCTTAGCCACGAACACAGGGCTGCAGCCATGGTCACTTCCTCAGGAAGCCTCTGATCTTTCAGTCTGGTAATGCTGGGCGTTAGAAATACAAAATCCAGAGGGAAACTAAACTCTGAGAGTAGTGAGTAGACAGTGTCAGAGAGTGTGAGCCTGCCTGCACTACATGAAGATGCCACATTTATTGAAACTGGGGTATAAGCAACAAATTCAAAACACTTCAAACCACCATGCAAGTGACAGAAAGATGACCTGTGCTGGGCTTCATTTATATATATATATATATATATATATATATATATATATATATATATATATATATATATATATATTTAAAAATGTTTTTATTGGTTTTTAGAGAAAGGAAAGGAGAGGGAGAGAAACATGAGAGAACAACATTATTAATCTGCTGCCTCCTGCATGCCCTCCACTGGGGATTGAGCCTACCCCCAGGAATCCAATCAATGACTTCTCGGCTCCTGGGTCAATGCTCAACCACTGAGCCACACTGGCTGGATTGCATTCATTTCTTTAAGGAATGAGGTAAACCTCAGATTACAAAACCAAGGCCAAAATAACTTTGCAGAATTAGAATGTGTTCAAGAAACCAGTCACACTTTAACTGGATCAGACTTCAACATGGAGCATTTGTGTTCCTCTTAGCTTAGGAAGCTACAGTCATCCAACATAGGGAAAGAGAATAAATACTCTTGCTTCTGCTCTCAGTTGCAGAGGAGGACGTTTCTCTCTGCACTGAAAAACACTATTTCTTTTTCCTGCTCTTTTTCCCTCTCCTTTCCTTGGTTTCCCCTTTCCACGAAGTTTCTTCAGACGTCTCTGCTCATCCATGAAGTCCTGATGCTCGTCTCTGTAGAGGCCATAGAAACGCAGTATCCCCATGAGCGCAAAATAAGTGTTGTGATTTGCATACCAGTCATATGTCTCCTTCCTCTTGGCCAAAGGCTGCTCACTAAACAGCTTCACCACTTTCATGGACTTGGAATCAGTAGGCCTGGCAACTTCACCAAATAGCCGGGCACTCAGACGAGTCATGCGCAAGGCATATTCTGAAAGGGAAGACATTTCTGGGGCAGCAAGGAGGAAAAGTCCCGAGTGGTGGCCTTCCTCTCCCATGCGCCCTTCTACCGGAAGGCCCCTGGGCTTCATTTTTATTTTTATTTCTTACCTTTAAACTTTGTTTCCCCTTCTTTAAAATGCCATTTTGTCATAACATTATTTCTCACAGATTTCAGGTAATGAGTGTGTGTGTTAGTGTGTCTGTATGTGTTTCATCTAAGTTTGTACCTGACACAGAATTCATAACAACAGGCCGTGGGGGGCATATACCCTCAAAATAATCATATATTTGCTCAATTTACCAGGTATCCATTTTTTATTTCCAGTTATTTCTAAATTTCAGATTTACCAATGTATCTGAATTTAATACAATACCACCCCCTGGTGGAAATCTATGGAAAAGAACCCATACTCGAATGTTTTCTCCACCATCCCAGCCCCTGCGCCAACCCCTCTCCCAGACACCTTCTTTCTTTCTCCCAGAATAATTTTTTCTTCAAACAAAGTCAGATGCCTATGGATGAGGACAGTGTGGGGTGTAAGGGAAGAGGGTGGGGTAGGAACCTAGTGGAGGGGAGCTATGGAGGGGAAAAAGAGGAACAATTGTAATAATCTGAACAATAAAGATTTGTTAAATTAAAAAAATAATAATAAAAAGTCAGATGCAAAAGCTCAGTGAACAGAACGGCAAAAATAAAACCGTACTGGGGGCTTTCTCTTTCCCACATTCTCATTGCCAACCCCACATCTCCCTCAGAGTGAAAATAGAATTCATCTCTACACAGTCGCCATCTTCCCCTGAAATTAAAATCACCTCTGTTTCTCTCAAGCTTCCTTATCTCAACGAAGAGCATCTCCTTTGCCATTCACTCAAACCAAACCCTCCTGAGAACTCATAAAACACATGAACAGATTAAAGGCTCTGAGCAGGCTCACATCAAGAAACCAGTTAGATATATTTAATTCCCAAATTCATTTTATCATGAGGCACATCCCCCTCCTCCCCAGTACATTTTTTAAAAAATCCTGTGAAAAGCACTGGGTATATTTCATTCAGAACGATTGTTCCATCTTAATTAGCAACTTAGCTCTTTGGCTGCACATGCTATTCAGTCTTCAGAAATGCTTGGGCACAGTCCACCATACAACAAGCCGGCTCTCAATTGCCTGTGGTGATGCAAAGTATGGACCTTAGGGAACTGAGCCCAGACAGCTATGTAATTGATGCCACCGTGTCTTCTACCAGGAATTCTTCTAGCAGGAGTCATTCATTAACTGTAATAAACTTATATCACATGATCGTATGATTTTATTTACAAGGACTTTAATCTCATTCGACTACAACCAGTGAGCATCATGGGCAGCCAGTGAGCTCAGTGATTTCCATGCCTTATCTCCTCCTGTAGATTTATGAGCCAAATATGTTGAAATCCCTACAGAAATCCCCATGCAAATTAGCATAGATTCTTGGACACTAGGTCTAAAAGTCATCTTTTTTTTTTTAATCAAAATCTTTATTTTTAGTAGAAATAGAGCTCTATGTTCCATGTGATTAGTAATAGATGTAAATCTAGTACCAGAATAGCATTAGATTAGATTAGCATAGTCCTAAACCTACTCATACACATTGTATCGTTTTTAATTAACAGAAATTGTATTTTGATCAATAGTCTCCTGGGCCATTTGCTGTCATTTCTTGGCACTTATATCTTTGGCTTGGGAGCGGGGGTCCTGAGGGCTTGAACACACTCGTTCAGCAGCCTGGCGGCCTCCAGAGCTGTCCCCCAGTGCATGGAGAAGCCCCCGCTCCCGTGGCCATAGTGGTGGACCACAGGCAGCCTCCGGCCATCCCGGGCCAGGAGCTCCTTCTGCAGCCGAACCCCTGCTCTGTAGGGCCTCAAGCCCACCGTCTCCTTGATGTCCCAGGCTCCGTGGAGGGAGGGCTCCAGAGCACAGCATCGGGAAAGAATGTCTCTGCTAATTTCTGCATCTGGGGTCAAGTTCCAGTCTCCACTTTGCCTGCTTCCACCCAGGATTACGTTGGATACACCGGGGAAAATGTACGTCAGCCCACTCCCATCCCGGATAAAGTGCTTCACCCAGGGAGCCTGCACTTTAAGCAGCTGGCCCTTCACGGGGTAGATCTCCAAGTCTCCCACAAGCTGTCTGCTTCCAAGGCCTGTACAGTTGACCACGATGTCGAAGGACGGCTGAAGCTCCCACAGGTCTTCTATTCGCCGGGTGAGTGTCACGGCCCCGCTCTCTTTTACCCTGGGGAGATCGAGAGAGCGGGAGGTGAGCCTTGGCAACTTCCTGCTCAACCCTCCACAGGCAGTGATGGACAGGAACATGGACACAAACTCCTCAAGAGCTTCCACGGCCCAAGCCAGCCGAATTCTAGCCACCAATTGCTTCATAACTGGGGATTCCAAGAGTGGAACCCAAATAAAAACCTATTTCAAAAATTCAAAGCCAAGTAAATTATATACAGGGCGGGGGCAAAAGTAGGCTTACAATTGTTCATATGGAAAGTAACACAATACTTAATAAATAATAATACATGGATAAACTCTGTTTCAAGTACTCACAGATACAAATTCTGTCCTTTGTCCTTTTTGTATTTATTATTATTATTATTATTATTATTATCATTATTATTATTGATTTCTAAGAAGAAGGGAGAAAGAGAGAGAGAGAGAAACATCAACGATGCTAGAGAATCATTGATGGCTTCCTCCTGCACACTCACTACTGGGGATCAAAGCCACAACCTGGGCATGTGCCCTGACCAGAATGGAGCCATGACGCTCAACCATTGAGGCATATTAGCCAGGCTGTCCTTTCTATTATATGTGCAGTAGAGTTTCTATATCATTCTAGATGCCAAATAAATACCAAATTAATCTGGGTATGTGAAATCCCCACATATTTCTTGTTTGTGTCTTTTATTTAGCCTTGGACATTTTTGTCTTGCATGTTCCTTTGTATTCGTCTCCCTAATTGGATGGCTGGGACAGGGCTGGCACACTCCCTCTTATGTCTACCACAGGGATGCTAGCAAGAGAGGGCTAATATTTAGACATTCTGTTCTGTGTTCCAACCATTCCAATTAGAACTCAAAATTATCCTCAGAGACATAAGAGAATTTACCAGCCTTGGAATTTGAGCAAATTAGCTAAACCCACTGCACTTGTCTTCTCAGCTATAACCTAGAGACAAGAGTGCTGAGCTCTCATTGTGTTTTTTTTTTTAATGACAATTATGTAAGAATGCAACAAATGTAAATGTCCTTCTTTTCCATTTCAAGGGTACCTTGTTGGCTGAGCTACTGATGAAAGCTCATCATCCACCCGGGAACTTCTTAAATTATCATAGAGCACAGGGTGTTGGAAAGCCCTGTCAGGCTTGCTGTGCTGGGTCCCTCCCAACCCTCATGCCTCACAAGAAAACTCACTGAGTGTGCCCAGGGATCAGTCATCCTGGTGCAGTTGTGATGTGTCCACAGTGTGATACTCAGTCATTACTCTAGAGCCATGGCCCATGTGTTAAGACGGCACAAAAATGTAGGCGGAAACTGTACCTGGAAGCCAGATGCTAAACTAGGTAATCAGGCACCTACATGGCTGCCTTACCTTCATATGAAGTAGTTATTCTGGAGGTTTTGAGTGACATGGCTAGGGGTATAAGAAGCTTGGTGACTTTGTTCTTGGAGCTTCCTGCAACTGTCCTCACCCTGGGCAGGGAGGATACCATTGCCCCAACCACCCAGGAGGAAATGGGGGGAAGAGTGGGAGGGTTCAAGAAGCTGTGCTCACTAAATAGCCCCAGCCCAAGTCCTCTGATCATCACCCTAAGATCCAAGTGTCCATTTTCATTAAGCCTAGAATCCAGGCTGCGTGAGAGAGGAACCCTAGTGGGAACAGGAAGTCCTGAAAACCAAGCCAGAATGCAAGTTGAAGGTATCTGAGGCTAACCTTGGTGAGGAAGGAATTACCTAATTTAGATAAGCCCTCAGTGTTAGAGTTCTTATTTATAACAAAAGAAAACAATGAAGCTATTTTCTTTATCACCAATGAGAAAAATACTCAAAAATAATTTATAATAAGCATAGGATTCTCCCATTCAAAGAACGAGAGTAAATCATCTAATTTTATATAACTGGAAGCATGTTTTCCAAACTCCATTGCACAGGCCAGGAGACCAAGATACTATTTCAATAAGTTTGTTTTACTGGTGTGTGGTGGTGGTGGTGGTGGTGGTGGTGGAGGTGGTGGTGGTGGTGGCAAACCAACTTGTGTATCAAGATGCACACTACAAGTTACAGTAGATGGGCATGTTATTCATTAAAAAGCATGGTGTGATTTGCTCCTGTGACTCAAGCACTGTCTTCAAATTGTTTTCAAAGCCTCGGCCATCTGTGATCAACAAAACACTGTGCAAGAGCTCTGAGGGACCACAGAGAATTTTCAGTATATATTTAATGAGTAACTAAGAAGTTACTTATGGCTATGACAGATTAAGGAAGCAGCAAAGAGCCATGTACACTGACCTTTTCTCCAGCCATGGGAGGTAGGCAGAACCTTCCAGTTTCAGCGTTGTAAAAGCATGACCAAACACATGTTGGGGGAATTTCTTCAGCTCAGCCTCTGTCATCTTTCGAAATCCCAGAACCACATCAGCCCAGAATGGCACTTCAGTAGAAATGCTCCGATATACCTGCCAACTGAAGTATATTAGGAGAATAAATTTCCTGAAATTTTGTGAAATAACACATTTCTTGTGAGCCCCATATGACATTCTCTAAAGCAATGAAAAAAATCACACTTTCTGCACATGAGCAAAAGATCTACCTATTCTTCCATTCTCTTCGGTTCAGATACCTCAGCAGATAAATTTAAAATGTTCATGAGTGAAGGGAATAAGACATTTAAAAGGTAGTTTGTCTTTTAAAGATTGGATTTAATTCTTTCTTTCTTTTTTCTCCCAAAAAGCTCTTGCCCAGATTTTCTTACTTATTTATGACAATGAGTATTAGAGGAAAGGTTTTCCTGTTTTGCATAATGCTTGACATAAATTATAAGCAAACCATCAAAAGTTTAAAGGTTGGCCTCATTCTTGAACAAAATATCTAAATTGGAATGAGCAATGGTGAGAGTCCAGGAGGCTGGGGTGCAAATTATGACCTAAGTTGTAGGTCATTCGACAAGCTCTCAATAAAAGAATCTGATTTGTCCAGAGAAGTCCTGTTACCATGAAGTCATGGTTGGGGTGAATGAGGCTGAAGTGATATTGATTGACAACAAGAAGCCTGTAATAATCCTACCAATAGCTGTGAGGCATATGTTGAATTTACAAGTGTTTTCATCAATATGAATAAATGTTGTAAATCATGGCTGCTCTAAAATAGCCAGGAAAATAATTTGAGTGCTGTACCTAGTTGCTAATGATGTAATTCATAACTAAGTAGTTTGCTTCGGGGCTTGTGCTGCAAGCTCTCTCTGGGCTAGACTGCCCTCTTCCGTAGCTTCACCATCATCTGTGGGCCAAACACTCAGCAGGCTGCATCTCCAGCCCTTTCTCTCTCAGGAGTTCCCAGACCAGATCCACACCCCCCATGTTTCCTACTCCCCACTGAATGTCTATCTCATATCTCACACAATGACCACACAACACGCACACACACACACACACACACACACACACACACACACATTTCCCCTACTCCTTTCCCCAATCTTATCCAACTCAGAAAGCAGAATTCCATTCACACAAGTGCTATGCCAGAAATCCAAAAATCACCCTTTACTCTCTCAACCCCTGCATGCCATCAACTACCAGATCCCGTCAAATATCTTAAGCCCTGGCCTGGTGACTCAGTTGGTTGGATGTCATCCCGTACATCAAAAGACTGGGTTCAATTCCCAGTTAGGGCACATACCCAGGTAAGTTAGGGGTTAGATCTCTGGTCAGGGTGGCTACAGGTGGCAACTGATGGATGTTCCTCTCTCAAGTTGATGTTTCTTTTTCTTCTCTCTCTCTTCCTTCCTCTCTCAGGTGGGAATTAAAATAATAATAGCTGGTCTGGCTCAGTGAATAGAGTGTCGGCCTGAGAAATGACAGGTCCTAGGTTTGATTCCAATCAGGGGCACGTGCCTGGATTGTGGGCTCAATCCCAACTGTGGGGCATGTAGGAGACAGCCGATCCATGATTCTCTCTCATCATGGATGTTTCTATCTCTCTCCCCCTCTTCCTTCCTCTCTGAAATCAGTAAAAATATTTTTAGCCGAGACTGGTTTGGCTCAGTGGAGAGAGCATCGGCTTGCGGACTGAAAGGTCCTGGATTCAATTCCGGTCAAGGGCATGTACCTTGGTTGCAGGCACATCCCCAGTAGGGGTGGTGCAAGAGGCAGCTGATCAATGATTCTCTCTCACTGATGTTTCTAACTCTCTATCCATCTCTCTTCCTCTCTGTAAAAAATCAATAAAAATAAATAAAATAAAATAAAAAAGATGGATCCTATCTTCTAAAACAAAAAACAAAAAAACAAAAAAACCACAACTATTAAAAATATATTTTTTAAATAATAATAAATCTCCTCTTAAGCATTTCTTAATTCATCTACTCTTTATCCCCACCATCAACAGCTAATCTATCCTACCATCATCTTGCATTTCACAAATCTGTCTTCCACACTGCAGACAGAATAGTTTTGAAATGTAAATATGATCAGTTACTTCTCTGTGTAAAATCCTTCAATGGCTTCCCATTACGTTGAAATTTTTCAACCCCTCCAACACACCACAGTCACCCCAGACGCAGGTCTATGCATGTGCTCTTCTCCCTCCCCAGAATGCTGCCTCCTCTGTCCTTGACCCTGTCTCTGCCTCCTTCACCTCTACACATCACCAGTCTAACCTACCCCCATCTGGATGGTCTGCACTAACACATCACTTTTTTCCTAGTGGCTTCTCATAAAATCCCAGAACAAGTTCATTCTCCAGATAACTGCTTTCGTAATTGGCGTCTCATTTGTTACTCATTAAATTTAGGACATTATCCACATGCCATAAGCTGCCTGAGGTCAGGACCATGTCTGTCCTTCTTAAAAGTTCACTCCATACATGTTTATTGAGCATCTGCTATATGCCAAGCAGTCAGTATTACGTTGCCCAGTTTTATATCCCTGATACCTAGGATAGTACCTGACACCGATGAATGCTGAAAACTTGTTCTGAAGGAATGAACAGATTAATAAAGTGACATACTTAAGCCAAAGATGCACAGGACATTGTGCCCTGGTCTTAGCTTGTGTCGTCCAAATCCTTTTTGGAAGCAAGTAGAATAAAAATCATTCATGTGAGGGAAAATAAAGAGCTCTCTTTCAGAATAGCTTAAAGTGCCTTCTTTATAATAACCTCAGCGATGGCAAAGTCTTACTCTTGAAAAGATAATTAAATTGTGGACACAGCTGTTTTTTAAAAATTATGTAGAGCCAAAGTTTGTGACTTAGACTGGACCACATTGGTTTTGACAAAAATGAAGGGTGGTCATCTATTAATGAGAACCATGTTTCTACATGGCTCATCCTCTGGTTTTGAAGACAGTGATAGAACCGTCTATCTTTGGAAGGTAGAGAAGCAAAAGTTGCTCCTTTGGACAAAGACTTTGAGGAATTAGTGATGTCAATATATTTTGGTATTAGTGATGGTGAGGAAGGGCAAGAAAAGGAAAAGGATAGAAATCTGCCCGATGCAGGGGTGTTCCCCAGCAAAAAAAAAAAAAAAAAAAAATAGTCAGCAGACATCTCAAAAGAGGAGAGAGGACAGGGTGTTTGTTTGTTTGTTTGTTTTTGTTTGTTTGGGGGAGTTGTTTGTTTTGCTTTAGAAATAGCACAAAGGGGGCAGTGGATTTAAAAATTTAGCAAAAGGCAAACATCCCTCTGCTCTTTCAAAGGACATGACTGTGTTATAACACAGGATAACACAGATAACATATAGGTTATGTCATTAAGTTAAAAGTGATATAATTATTAGTGACCTCTATTTAAAACCATATAGAAAGACATTTCAACATTTTAAGTGCAAATTTGTGTTAGCAATGTTACATAGGATTTATTTTTAAACTCTTTTGTTCAATTGTGCATCTCCTGAAGTCAGATATGAAGAATCAATAGGAGTGGGCTAACCATTTCAGAAATATTTTTTCCCTAAGTGGCAAGTCACAAGGTAACTTTGGTGACCTACAAAATTTACATTTTTGGAATGTAGCATTTTCCGAGGACACGAAATATATAAGGTGTCCCTATGTTTTGGGTCTCTGCTCCCATTTGAGTGTCATGCCTGTTTGCTTTCCATCAGCCACATATCTTCACATAACCCACCTCACTGCTTACCTGACATACTTTTGCGGCCATAGTTGAAAATCACTGCATAACCTCCAAGGAAACTCAAAACAGTATTTGTTGAGAAACTGTAATGGATGTTCATTATTAAAAAGTCTAACACCATAATTTGCCTTTCTCGAGTTCTTTGGAGTAAAGCCTAAAATGTTCTTCTAGCCGAAACCTGTTTGGCTCAGTGGATAGAGCGTTGGTCTGTGGACTGAAGGGTCACAGGTTCGATTCCGTCAGAGGCATATGTCTTGGTTGCGGGCACATCCCTGGTGGGGGGTGTTCAGAAGGCAGCTGATTGACGATTCTCTCTCATCGATGTTTTTAGCTCTCTGTCCCTCTCTCTTCCTTTCTGTAAAAAATCAATAAAATATATTTTGAAAAATAAAAATAAAATAAAATGTTCTTCTAAATCCTCCCACATCCAGGTCAGCATTCTGCGCACAGCAGACACTCGATAATAATATATATTGAACTCTCAAGTCTGTTTAGATCACATGTGTCAAACACTAGGCCCTCGGGCCAAATCCGTCCCTCCAGGCCTTGCAATGTGGCCCGCACCACGCTGTCATCACTGCACTCCGCTGCGTTTCCATCACAATGACAGTTTATGACTGTTCAGTAAACCATTCGGCCCGCGATTTAGGCTGGATTTTAGATTTTGGCCCCTTCTCTGATTGAGTTCGACACCCCTAGTTTAGATCATTGTAAATTCTGAAATAACCTCAGCTCTCCTCTCTTACCCAGACACCAGATGAACGGCAGCCTCCCGGGCGTCTGCAGAATTGGCAATTGCCCACAGGTGGTCAAAGGTCTCTCTAAACCACTGCTTCTGCTTGTGGGTGGGTGTGTCTGTAATCAGGGAGAGAAGCAAGTGGAACAGAAAGGAAAATTATAATGACTCTGCTTCAGATAAGCTCCTTCTAGACAATGGGGGGGGGGGGGAATAAAGAGGCGAAGAGGAACATTTAGATCAAGTACCACACGGTGGAGGATTTATCAGCAACCAGAATTCTGAATGTGGACGCATGCTGTCAGCACCTGTTTATATAATGATAATATGCAAAGGGGGAACCAACCAATGAGGGGGAAACCTGGTAGGTGAGCCAGCTGGCAGGTGGTCTCGGGCAGAGGTCTTGAAGGGTCGGTCTGTAACCAACCTGAGCAGAAGTCAGTTCACGGTGAGGCATCCAGCTGGCCATGCAGTTACAACAAGAGGAGAAAGAATCCAGGGCCCCTTTCCTGGGGACGGAAAACTCGGTGGGTGACGAAGGGAGACCTGGGAGGCCCAGGTCAGCCAGGACAGAGACGGGAACGCACACCAATGGGAAGCTGGAGAGCTCACCCTCCAGCCACAAGGAAACACGCCCTGCACTGTGAAGGTGATGCCTCGGGAAGAGCTCCCTGCAGCCCCCACCAGGCTGTCGTGACCTCTCGCGCCACCCCATGAGCCACTGCCCGCTTAGAGCAGCAGTCAAAGGTCAGCAGGGCATGCAGGACCGCACCAGGCACCGCCCCTCTGTCAGAGTCCTGTGGACCAGCGCTCCCTATCCCCCAGGCAGCCCTGCCAGAGCCCAGGAGATGAGGCTGGGACACAGCTTCTAGAAGGGAGTCAGGCCTGTCCGGGAGGAAAGAAGTCAGGATGCAGTCCCCAAATAAGTGTCCAATGCAGGTACAGATAAATCTAACTGTGGGTAAAGTATTTGGCCCTCTGGTTCCTGTGGAAGGTTTGTAGGGGGAGTCAGGGCCAGGCCAGGGAGCAGTGGTTCGGAGGGGCTGCAGTGGGAGCAGCACAGAGGAGATGAGGGAACTGAGGCACAAAGGATGCTGGTCAGCTTTGTTTGGAGAGATGTCCCTGTGGTTCACAGTAGGGTGAGCATGCCCCTGGAGTCACCCTGCTCCCCGGACAAACCCCCAGGCCAATGAGATTGTTTCAGAAGCAGGGTTTCAAAACTTGTTAGGAGTGGACCTGTGCTATCTTTAAACATGTGCCCATTGTGTACTCAGCACTGTAGTCCAAAACTGAGGACTATGCCATTGGGGTAGAAATCGGGAAGAAATAAATAATAAACTCCAAAGAAAAATAAATTAGTTTATACCCAACAATCTAGGCCACTCTATGGACTGTCTTGAAATCCATTCCCTGTTCCCACCCAAAACCTGAGATCCACATGAAATCATCCCAAAAGAACTGCTCTCTACCCAGTTCAGCAGCGAATAGAGCAAGCCTGGTGGCCTTGTTCACGTTCTAGTGCTGCTAAAAAGAACCGGTGGCCCGAGCAGCAGTAATAACAGTAGCAACGAAGTATATAGCACTCGCTGTGTCCCAGGCACTGTTCTAAGTGCTTTACGTAAATTAATCCATTGAATTTTCACATGACCCTGAAAGGCCAATATGGTCCCCATATGGTGCTGACACTCATGAGCACAGAACATATTTACCACTGAGCCTCGTCGGGGCACATGTGGGAAGCAACCAATCGATGAGTCTCTCTCACATCAATATTTCTCTCTGTGCGTCTCTCTCACATTGATGTTTCTCTCTGGGTGTCTCTCCCCCTCCCTTCCACTCTCTCTAAAAAATAAAAAATCAATGGAAAAAACAAACAAACAAACAAACAAACAAAACATGTCCTCAGGTGAGGATTAACAAGCAAAAACAAACACAAACTCAGACTCAATGCATCTTTCAGCCTGAACACACACTGACTGGTTGCTCTATTCTGGCTTAGAAATGAGGATCTTGGTCCCATGACACACAGGCAGTTTCTGACTTGAGGGTCATTACTGGAATCCGTGGAAAGACTTAGAGTTGCTCATTGTGGTAGTCCTTAGTGATGTTCACCAAGTACCCTGCCTGTCCATCTCTGAGCCTTACAGAATGCACTTCCTGGTCTCCTCTCAGGGGTGAGAGCATGTGAGTGGTGCCAGCCCATGAGCTGTCATCACAAGTGATAAAAGTCACTTGGCAGAGCCTTTAATTGTGGAGGTGAGACCCCTTCCCACCAGAGCTCTCCCCAATACCCCCACGCACAGATACCGGTGACATTCAAACAGCAGCTGCTCCATCAGCTTAGGTCCCTGCAGATCCCTTGCTGATGCTCAACAAACATATACCACAAGCAAGAAATAAACCCTTGCTTCTTAAACTGCTAACGTTTGGAGGTTGCTCTCATCGTACAGCTTAACTGAGCTTTTGCTAACAGCTGAGCCAATAAGATGTTAAAAGCTCACGTGACACTCACATGCATCATCATTCTACCTGACATCTACCATGTCGGACAGAGCAACGAAGATGCCTCTCACCTGGGTAAACATGGGGAATGAGGATTCCAGCTGCCACATCGCTCGTTGTCTCCGGACTGAACTTGTCTGAAATGACTGTGATGGAGCATCCCGGGACCAGTTTGGAAATGCACAGAGCGGTGGAGAGCCCCATCACCCCTGCCCCCACCACGGCAACCCGGACTGGATCCATGGGCCTGCGAGGAAAGAAGGTGTGAGCTCCAAACCTCGTTTGAGGGATTAGTCCATCCAGTACAAAGTTTGGCCTGAGGTCCAAAACCTCTCACAGTAAGACCTTTCCTGCTGGCATTTCTCGTGGGGCAAGGAGAGCTCCCAGGAAGTTCTCTTCCCAGGAAGCACCGGGGTGGGTGTGGGCAGCAAGGGCTTGATGGGGTTTTAGACGTGAGCGCAAAACCATCCTGGAGCTGCCCTTGGAACATACAACAGTGATGTAGGTTTGCCTTTGAGGGGAGATTTCTACTCATTCTGCTCCCTTTCCTAAACTACTTGCCCTCTGGGTAAAACCTAGGAGAGGTGAGTGAAGTAAGCAAGGTAGATACAGCAGCAAATATAACATTTGACAGAAAGTTTGAACAACTGAACTCAGCGTCTCCTGTCTCCTCACCCCTTCCCTACCTCTCTCTGTCACTACTTTCCCAAGCCCCACACTCCCACCCTCACCCTCACCCTAGGCCTGAAACCCCGCCCTCTGAGAGCAGGCTTTTCTTAAGCTGGGGAGCAACCCATGGTCTCCTAGCCTGGACTCCCTCCTCTAGAAACCAAGCCATACGAATTCTGCACTAACTCCTCAGGGCGGTGAATAAGAGAGAGCCACAGAGTGTGTCTCATAAAGAGGGCTCTTTCCCAGAGCCTGTAGGGGAATACAGAAGCCTGGGCTGGGTGGGTGCCTGAGACCAGCACTCAGTGTGGGAACGAGAGGGTTGATGAGGGCTCACCACCCTCCCACCCCCTCGCCACTGAGCCCTGCTCCACTGTAGCTTACCTGCCTGTTGTGCCTTCCCTGCTTGTCTGTCCACTCTGTTTCTGCTCTCTGTCTCTGTAGGTCTCAGGCTCAAACTCCAGAGAGATAAAATACAATTGTTGATCATTGCCACCCCTATCAGATAATGTTTAGCAGCAGACCAGCTCATTGGGCTGAATCAACTTGTACATCTGCCCTTGGCACAGGGGCCCTTCTCTGTCTAATCAGCAGTAGCCAGCACACCGGGTCATGTGATATAAACCACGGCCATCTGCATGCACTGCACCTTCCTCGGGAGGGGGTGGGGCAGGTCCCTCTGCTGGGAACAGGGCCAGCTGGGTGGGGCTCAGCTGTCAGTAGGCTGTTCTGCTTCGGAAGCTGTCTGATACTGTAAAGTCCTCCCGTGGAGGTCTCTGTAAGTTATTTCTTGAGCTCTCTTGGCCATTCATTCATCTCATTGCTGCACAACGGGCTGGCTCACTAAGAAAGATCAGGATTGCCAGGGCAGAGGGCGGAGCAGGGGAGGGTCCTGGGCAAGGGGCAGACCAGCAGAGGGGCAAGCTTGAGGAGGGCAGCCCTGCACGCTGCCCCAGAGGTAGAAGGCAGCCACCTGTTCCCTTCCTGTCTCTCCTGCTTCCCTACAGCCTTCCTGCCCAGCAACTCTCCCAAAACGGTTCTCATAAGTTGAGAAGGAAAGTAATTGTGGCTGAGAATAACCAGCTGCCGGGGAGAGGAAGTGTGAATTGGCAAGGTGGGTACAGCCTGGCCCAGTGACCTGCGAGTCAGGTGCCCCTGTCCCTTTAAGACACACCCCAGGCTCCCTGCGTGTGTGTGTGTGTGTGTGTGTGTGTGTGTGTGTGTGTGTAGCATGAGCCCTGAGCACCAGCAGGGGGGATCCCAGTACCTGTCTCTGCAAAGGCGGCCTGGAACCACAGAAGGCTCTGCCACCAGCACTTGTTTTCCCAGTGAGTGGCTGGTCCAGTGCCCGGTGACGAAGGGAAAGCAAAACTGCTTCCCATTGGGGACATGACTAAGGACGTTCCCTCTAATCAGACTCTCCATTGGCCACCCGCCTGTGTCTCTCACTCATTTCCCGGGAGAAATGAGCCAGTGGCCTCCTCTTGTAAGTTGTGAAGCTGGGGCTCTGCCAGCCTGGAAGTGGGCCTACTCAGCCGTTCTCCTTTTTCTGGCTGACAAACCACCTCACCACTGGCCTGGGATTCTCAACGGCTGATCCGTGGGCGTGGTAACAACTGCCGAAGCTGTCCGGCTCCCAGCCAGTTCCTCCTGTGGCTGCCATCTCCCATAGGTTCCTGGCTCTGCTGGCTCTGCTGGGTCTGAGGGGGAGGGGGAGGGGGTATGAGGACAGAATAATGTTGTTGATCCGTTAGATGAATGTTTCCCAAACTTTTGACATATGTGTACCCCTTCTATAATTTTCATAGTGCTGAGTACCCCTCATACTCATGAGAACGTAGAATTAGGCGCAGCTAAGCACGGTGCAGTGCATATCCCCACCAAACTCCGGTGCAACGTGTACCCCCACCAAACTCTTCCCGTACCCCTGCGGGTATGTGTACCACACTTTGGGAAACACTGCTAGATGATGATTGCAGTTGGAAAAATTATTTAGGATAAAATCTAGGATAAAAAACTAAATGACCCTTGAGTCCACATATTCAAATATTTGCTGAGTGTCCACTGGGTGGCAGACTGTAAAATTACAGTCAACAAGTTATTTTACGGGAAAGCAGTTTGATGTACTGAAGTAATGATGATCATACTGTAACTAATGTGTAATTAGCTTGCACTGTCTGCTAGACACATGCATGACACCATTAACACACACACCCTGTGAGATGGGGACTGTGATTATCCCCAATTCACAGATGAGCACATCGAGGCTCCAAGAGAATAAGGAAGGGCCCAAGGTCTCTTAAATGGGAAAGCCCAGTCTGAATGTCAGGTTCCCAGGCTCAAGGTCTTCACCAAAGCACATCCAGAGGTGCCACACTGGAGATCTGTTTTACCTTGAGCGAGTCATCTCGCTTCCGAATTTCCTGTCTCCATTTGAAAACTGGACATGAACTAAGATTTCGCTTACAAGTTGTTGTGAGCATCTGCTGAGTTGAGGTGCGGATGGTAAAATTCTTGGTAAGGTGGTATATGTATTTCATTGAGCACCTACTATAAAACCAACCAACAAACATTTGCTGAGCACTCTGTTCAAGGCAGGTTGCAAGGATTTGGAGATACTCAAGGGTTCCTAAAATGGTGTTTTCTCCCTCAAGAAAGGAAGCAAAGCAGAATAAGACAGTCCTCTAAGAAGCAGAACTGTCCCTGTAGGCGCTGTGATAGCTCAGGAGGGAGGGAGGGAGGGAGCGTGGTGGACCCCCGTGGCCAGCCCAGGAGGGACAAAGAAGAAGAGGGTAGGAAGTGTTGGGAGGGAGGATGGTATGAGCCAAGTCAGAGGCAGGAAGTTCAGAGAGAGCTGAGGGGACAGGGGTGTGTGGGGGGTGGCTCCATGGGGATGTTTGTGTGAGTGGAGAAAGTTCCACAAGTCCGGTTAGGATGGAGGCTGTGTCCAAAAGGTGATGGGAGCCATGGGAAATACCTGAGACTCTCCTTCTTCTCCCGGCCCAGCTCTGGGCTCTGCTTGCCTCCGAAAGGAAGACAAGAAGAAAACATTTAGTAATGAAACCAAGAAAGCAAGCTTCCACTCTCTCTAAAAGCCAATGGGAAAATATCCTCTGGTGAGTATTTATTCAATTAAAAAAAAAAAAAAAAAAAAAAAAAAAAGCCGAAACCGGTTTGGCTCAGTGGATAGAGCATCGGTCTGAGGACTGAAAGATCCCAGGTTCGATTCCGGTCAAGGGCATGTACATTGGTTGCGGGCACATCCCCACTTGGGTATGTGCAGGAGACAGCTGGTCGATGTTTCTCTCTCATTGATGTTTCTAGCTCTCTGTCCCTCTTTCTCTCTCTCCCTCTCTGTAAAAAAAAAAAAAAATCAGTAAAATATAAAAAAGACTCACAGGTATAAAGAACAAACAGGGTTGCCAGATTGGAGGAGAATAGGGGGTCTGGGTGAAAAAGGAGAAGGGATTAAGATGTACAAATTGATAGTTACAAGACAGTCACAGGGATGTAAAGTACAGCATAGGGAATATAGTCAATAATATTGTGGTAGCTATCTATGGTGTCAGGGGGATATTAGAAAAATCAGGGGGAATATTTCATAAATTATATAAATGTTTAACCACTATGCCATACACCTGAAACTAATATAAAATAATGTTAAAAAGTCAACTGCAATTGAAAAATAAATAAATAAATAAACAACAATCAAACAAATAAATAAAATATGGAAAAGAAAAAAGAAACACACTCACAGTTGACAGTGCCTGGGGGAAGGAGGGGACCTGATGGGACTGGAGGATGTGGTGTTCCCTCAGGTGGTGAGTGGAAAAGGCTGAGAAACGACGACACAGAACAACAAACATGGAAAAATATTTTTCCGTGACCACAAGAAAGCAGTCTAAAACATGAGCATCCTCATCTTAGTTTTTATTTCTCTTACAAAATCACCGTTTTTAAAACTTTTTTACAAAATTTTTTTCCAGGAAATGAGAATAATATTTCTCTAATACAAAGGCAGTAAACAATTTTTCAGGAGCTGGACGGCATGCATGACGCAGTCATTCACCAAACTAGAATCCCCTGAATTAATCAACTTCTGGTTTGTCCGGCTTCTGAGTCACTGGTGGTGGGAAACGTTTCGCCTGAGCTGCTACCTTTTTCTGCGTCCAGTATGTTCGTCTCCTCCCAAGTAGTTGTCAGAGGCTTCTGGAGGGTTTCTGGAAGTCTGAGTGTCAGTATTCCACTCACTAAGGACAAACTCCCAACGAGCATCTAGAAGGCAAAAAACAAAAATAAAATAAAGAAAAGAAGAGAAACAAGAGGTGACACTTCAAGAAATAAATGTAGCTGAAACCGGTTTGGCTCAGTGGATAGAGTGTTGGTCTGGGGACTAAAAGGTCCCAGGTTTGATTTTGGTCAGGGGCATGTACATTGGTTGTGGGCACATCCCTGGTAGGAGGTATGCAAGAGGCAGCTGGTCGATGTTTCTCTCCCATCGACGTTTCTAGCTTTCTATCTCTCTCCCTTCCTCTCTGAAAAATAATCAATAAAATAAAATAAATGTATCCTTCAAGTGGGGACCAGGTGAAGGGGAGCTATGGGGGAAGGGGGAAAAGGGAGAAACAATTGTAATAACTGAACAATAACAATTTATTTAAAAATAAATAAAAACAAAACAAAAATAAATAAATAAATAATGTATCCTTCAGCGAATAATAATTCTGAACCTTTTTTCAGAGGGAAACAGATATGAACTTGACATGCCAGTTGACATTTTTATTCCGCAGTGAGGCCTCTGGTGACTGAGGCTGGACTGGGAGTTCTTGAACTCATCGTCTAGGCTTCCTCTGGTCCCTCATGAGTTCCTTCCTTAACCACTGTGGCGCACCTACTCAATAATCCCAATAGCTGCCGGCATTATCACTCCTGCTGGCACTGTCCTAGGAACTGCCACACCAGTCTGTCCCATTTTCCCAGACGCCAGAGTCTTATGGAGAAACCCAGCGGCTGAGCCGTGGGTTGGGACTTCATGGCCAGGGACTGCCCCAGTGATCAGTACTCTATCGGCATTCAATAAATGACGGGAAACGCAGTCATGCCTGCACGAATGAACATTTCAGTGAACCAAAGTCTGCAGGATTTAAGGGGGAAACCTACAAGGGCAAAGGAAATGAATGGCTACTTTTGAAAGGGTGACGGGCGGTCCACCTGACTTCCTAGGAAAATTCACTATTTCTTTCCAGATGTTGACACACAAAAGGCAGCCTCTTACACTAGCACCAGGTGTTTGTCTTTAAACATGCAAATCACACTAAAAAATTAATGTCTACATGTCTGTGCTCTATTGATCATTATGAAGATGTTGGGTGAATTTTAGAACTAAACCTTTATACAGTTTGCACAAATGCATTCCGTTCTTCGTACATAATTTTAATTCCTGTAACAAAAGACACTGCCTGGGAAGAGCCCATAAAAATAAGTCAAGGCATGGTCTTTCCAGTAAATCCGCATGCTGGCAGCTTCCACAGCCTGGGAGAATGAGAAAGATGAGACACAGAGCGACTGTGACATGATGCGAGGCCACATCAACAGCAGGCATGCCCTGGGAGATCAGCTGTGCATTTGGTTTTACAGAATGCTGATCATCCAGTTCTTAGAAACACATGAGCAAGCCCAGAAACAGTAGTGGGATTTAAAGTGACATTCCAGAGGATGTTTAAAGGCATTTTCTGATGCCTCAGGACATCGCTAGTGCCGACACTAATGGTTAAAGCGCAGACGAGCCCTGAAAAACACTGAAAACAAGTGTCTAAACAAGAAAATGGAATCAAACGGAAGATCCAAGACAGAACTGGATTGTTCTTTTTAGCTTGGTAGTAACAACAATAGGCAATTAACAAAAAGAATCCATAACCCTCCATGCTCCCCTCTCATTCTAAGCAGGAGACTTGGTCTCCTGCCACCCACCCCCAACCCCCCCAGCTCCTTCCCTCCCCAAAACACCCAACAACGCCCCTCCCCGCCCCTTCCTCCCTGGACCAGGTCCCACTGCCTCTCACCTCCTTCTCCAGGTCTTCCTCCACCTGTGGCCTCCCTCCTTCTCACAGATTCCTGGCCTTTTCCTTGCCACTGGCTAGTAAAAATACAGGTCCCCAAGCCTCTTATAATCTCCAAACCCACTCTGCCCAGTAACTTGCTACCAGTATGGCCTTGGGCAAGCAACCTGACTTTTCTGCTCCTCGGTTTCCTTATCTGTAAAATGGAAATACTGGTAGTGCCTGTCCCGAAAGACTGTTGAAAGGATTAAATTTAACACCTAACAGTGCCTGGCCTATGGTAAGCAGTGAATAAATGGCATCTTTTAAAACAAGCAAAAGAGGCTCATCCTCTCCAGAGTGGTCACTGCCTCCTCTCTCAGCTCTCCTTCCGCCCGGCCCTCAGCAGCCTGGCCCTCTCCCACCACCCACAGAAGCTGCTCTGCCATCTCAGCAAATTTCTATAAAGTGATTAAACACCTGGGGCATAAAGATCCAAATGTCGGGGAGGTTAACGGAGAATGGGGCTATGATGCTTCCGGCGCGGGACACCATGCTGCCACTGCCCACGGCCTGCGTCCTAAAAGCAAGAGGAGAGAATGGGAGACAAGTGGAACACAGATGACACAGAGAGTGATGGGCAACTTCCTGTAGCCCCTGTCCGCCCTCCAGCATAATCCTATGTAATAAAAGCCTGATATGCTAAGTGCTCTGTCATCCAGTCAGCCATTCAACCAATCAAAACATAATATGCTAATGATATGCTAAGGCCACTCAACTGCTCACTATGGCGTGCACTGACCACCAGGGGGCAGACACTCCCACCTGTAGGTTAGCTTGCTGCTAGGGTCTGGCCAATCTGGACTGGGCGAGAGGGCCAGACATGCCCTGGAGCCCTCCTGCAGTCCCTCCCAGCTGGCCAACCTCCTGTGTCCCTTCCCAGCCCCATTTGTACACTGGGGGAGTCCTCTGGCCTGGCCTGAGCCCTCTTGCAATCCGGGCTGAGGGACAACGTGCCCCCCCCCCAAGTATACAAATTTCGTGCACTGGGCCTCTAGTAAATAATAAGACTTTAGCTTGGCTTACTATACTTTGCAATAATTTTACTTTAATTTTTCAAGAATCACTTGTGACCTAAATCCACATTCTGCAGTGGTATGTACAAGTGTGCAAATAATTCAAGATCCAAAAAATTATTCATCTGGTATGCAGATGAGGCCCTCAGATATATTAGGTCAGTCTATTATTGAGGACAACATCAATTTCTAGAGCCAGAAGTTGTTTCGAGTAGGAAGTGGGAATGTGGGAGACTTATGTCTATGGAACATTTTATTTTTTTAAAAGTCAAGTGATATCTTAATGTGCTTTTCTTTTCTTTTTTTTTAAATATAAATATTTTTTTTATTGATTTTTTTTTTTTTTTTTTTTTTTTTTTACAGAGAGGAAGGGAGAGAGATAGAGAGCTAGAAACGTTGATGAGAGAGAAACATCGACCAGCTGCCTCCTGCACACCCCACACTGGGGATGTGCCCGCAACCAAGGCACATGCCCCCAACCAGAATCGAACCCGGGACCCTTCAGTCCGCAGACCGACGCTCTACCACTGAGCCAAACCGGTTTCGACTTAATGTGCTTTTCTTTGCAAAGTATTTAGCCCAGGCCAGGCAGCTCAGTTGGTTGGAGCATCATCCATAGGTTGCAGTTCAACCCCAAGTCAGGCATATAGCTGGGTTGTGGGATTGATCCCCAATCAGCAATCCTACAGAAAGCAACCAATTGATCTCTCTCTCTCTCTCTCTCTCTCTCTCTCTCTCTCTCTCTCTCTCTGTCTCTCTGTCTCTCTCTCTCTCTCTCTCTCTCTCTCTCTCTCTCTCTGTCTCTCTTTCTCTCTGTTTAAAAAAAGAAGAATTTTTAAAGGTATTTAATTAACCTTATAAAATATCTAACAGGAAACAATGTGCTTTTCATATGAGTATCTTTTCTTACACCAAAGAGAGAGACCCCAGGAGAAACCGAGCCTGCCGAACACATTGATCTTGG